GGGGAGATAGATTCAGTGTTTGTAATGGATCAGCCATTCCCAGTCCTTAGTCAATCCTAAATTGATTGTATCTAGTTTGCATATCAATTCCAGCTCAGCAGTCTCTCGTTGGAGTCTGTTTTTGAAGTTTTTCTGTTGTAAAATAGCCACCTGCAGGTCTGTCATTGAATGACAGATGTCTGGTCAGGCTTAACCAATCTGAGACAGGCTGCAAGACTTTACAGAGACTTTGATTATGATTCCCACTTGATATAGACTGGCTTGTATGGTTGTTTAGGCATTGGACTAAACTTACTGCTGGGAGTAGTGAGTGTAGCCTCCACTGACAGCTATTGACTGGCACCTACTTAGCACAGGAGTGAATTTGATTCAGTGTGTGTATTATATTAACAACACATTAACTATGTTTCTAGAAACTAATTTCTAAGCAGTTAAATGCGTCTGAATGATTTTAGAATTAATTTTGATGTGTTGTAAGTAAATAGGTGCATAGAGTACTCACAAACTCTTTTGTAGAAACACTGCAGTCTAATTTGCATTTATAGCACCCTAAGTAATAATTCTTTTCTTTAGTCATTAAAAACTTTAAAATACTTGTGGAACTTTATATTCTGGCACTTCTACCCCTAGAGTTGTCACTCCCTCAATTTTGTCATTAGCTTTCTGGTAACATCATTCCAGAACTGAACACATTAATTTGTCACCTCCCTGTGCTTCTGCATATATGCCCCGAGTGAATGACACTTCTGCATATGTGGTACAAAATCACATTTGCCTTGTTTTGTTTCTATACTGCATTGCAAACTTATATGCAGTCTACTGAATACTGTTGCCACAGCTTTCTCTGAATGTTACAGGTTTCTGGATTTTTCCCTTCCACTGAATCTATGCTTCCAATTATTTTTCCAAGCTGAATCTCATTTTATTTTTTCTTGCTGATATTTCCAACCCCTCTTGATCTCTATTATCTCTTTGTCTTCACTGCCGTACATAGCACACCAGCTTGAAGTAAAATATTCTTTAGCCCTTTCTGCCAGATCAGTAGCAAAGACTTTAAAAATGACCCATGTCAAACACTGATTTCTTGTTGTGCCCCACTGCTAGAAAATCACCGTTCAGTCAGCTTTCAGTCCATCTGACAGTGCTCATATACAAGAAAATTTGAATTAATTTTCCAAGTAATATTTCCTGAACCACTGCTTCAAATGCTTTATTAAAATCAAGATGTATTACCTCTGCTTTGTTCCCTTAGCTTGTTTACAACCTTCTGAGGTGTATAGAACTTGTTCTCTGATATGGAACCAGAGGAGCATAGTGACCTTGGAGTCAAAACCATGGTACGGTGTCAAGAATAATGAGTCATTGACATTTTTCACCTGATTACGGGTTCTGGAAAGGGTGAGGCATTGGTGTCTTATGAGAAGACCAGCTATCTAATACAGAATGCCTGGTGCACCATGGTACCTGACATGTAATTTGCTTCTGTATACGTGCTTAAAAGGAAAAATCAAAGTGCAGGATTATGCACCAAAACAATTTAGTGAATCTCACATATGCATGTTAAGCATTTATCATTTAAGTAGTTTTTATTATGTTGTTGGTTTATGTTCAGTAGTTGTACATAGTTCCCATGCACTATTAATGTACTGTCCAGTAATATTCAATAAATTGTGGATTTAGAAACTGTGGGTACCATGAAGCTGCTGGTGTGACTGAACACCCCAATGACAAAATGCACACAGCTCTTATGTGTTATGATGAGTTAGTGCCAAAGTGACATCACTATTTATTCGGTATAGAACTAATTTGGGATGCTCGTTCATCTTAGAGCAGGAAATAATTTTTAATATTTTGTATAATACAATTTTAAAATCCAAATATTGTTAAACCACTCATTTTTTCCTGTGGCATTAAAATTCCAGCAATAGAGGCTTAATGTGGCATGACTAGCCTGAAGCAGGTGCCAAGCCTTTGCAAATGCTAATGTGAGTCTGGTAGGACTCACCTTTGCAATTGACTAGAAAGATCTGAAAACCGTGTATATACTATCCTGGTGACTGCTTAACTATATTTCCAGAAACAATTTCTAAGTAATTCTGTGAATTGGTCCTTATTTTGATGCATTCTAATTCATTAGAAGCATGTATCTTTATTCATTCGCTACTGAAGATTCCCTGTGATTACAAATCCATAACTTAATATTAAGGCTTCATTTGTTTTATTCATGACTGGCACCCTAAGAATCTGCAGGTTTATTACCTCTGCTGACCTTGTCTTCTGTTCTCTTCCCAAGTCCATGAAGTAATTCTTGAACTGTCAGACCTTCCCTTGCTGCCTTTTCTCCCCCTTCCACACACATACCCCTCACCAGCCATACACACTTTGACTATAATTAGTGGAAAATTTCCAGCATTATTTATGATACTAGGAATATTTGTTGTGATGTCATTTCATCTGGACGTAACAGCATATGATCCTTTTTTCTTTACCTGGGTCAGCTGTGACCCAGGTTTGAGTGTTAGGTTTGTTATTTTACTAAGGAGTCACTAACCAGGACTGCTTGCCTCTTCTTTTTTCTGTTACTATCTTTAGTGACAACTGATGTAAAACAGTTGATAGTTTTGAAGGAGGGATTTTCAAAAGCACTCATCACTGGCTTAATTTTGCTCTCATTGAAGTCATAGAGTCTAAGGACAGAAGGGACTACTGTGATCATCTACTCTGATCTCCTGCATAACAAATCAGTGGGAATCTTGCCACTCGCTTCTCTGGGAGCAGAGTTAGATCACTGCTTGAGTGCTTTTGAAAATTCCATTCTGTATATTTATGATATTAGCAGATTATTTTCCTTGAAAAAATATTTAATATGCTTCCCTATTTATCTTAAGTGTTATACTGGGCCACAAATAATGTTGTAATCTAATTTTTAATTGTGCAGCTTTTTTGTGTGCTAAATATTTATTTATTCATTTTTATGGATGAATAATACTGAAGAATTAGAACATGTATTTGAGATTATAAAACCGATTTTGTGTTTTTAGATTAGCTATAAGTATACTCATCTACACCCCCCTCTCATTTGAAATCAGAGAGTTAGAGTCTCCTCTCATGCCAGTGTAAATCAAGAGTAACTCTTTTAAATAATGGAATTACCCTTCTGTAAAATGTGTGTAACAAAGACAAAAACCCAGCCCTAAACTAACAGAACTGTTAAATAGAATGAAAAGAAGACAAGGAGGATGGAGAGATCTTGTCCTATTGTTTATGAAACAACACATTCAATTTATAAATTCTCAGCTTCTGGAATGATTTACTCCACTACAGACTGATGTAACATCTGGCTTAAAGTATGGGATACTGATTCCATTTCAAAGGGTAAATTAGCAGCTGCATATTTCAGTGGTAAGTAACTATTTGACAGTGCACTAGAAAAAGCTTTCAAAAAGCTGAAGCATAATCCATCTAGCTAACTGTTAACATTGCTATTACCTCTACTCTTCCTCCACCACCTGCAAAGTGGCCTTTGAATATTCCCACTTCTGGGATGATATCCCAAAACTTCAGGACCTGGGGGAATGTAATCTCTGCTGGTGCCACACAAAAGCCCTCTAACAGCCCTGAAAGTTTGGAACCGAGGTTATAGAAGGCTGTGCATCCCCCACCACTTTAGTTCCTTCCTTTCCACAGCTGGCTGCGCTTGTAAAGACCGTCTCCATGCCCGAAGTGATTTCTGGTGGATTTATATCCAAGAGTTTCCTCTTGTTCATTGTTTTGTTAGAAATTAGAAGATTTACATGTTTTGTTCTTGCATTTCTTCAGCAGTGGCAGAAGGTTTGGAGGTTGTTATAACAGTGATATGTTCAGGAAGAGAGAGATGCTTATTTTAATGGCTGATCCTCACTTTACAATTGTCCTGAGTCCTCTCCCCAAATTCATATAAAAAGGGTCATGTGAGTTTCACCTGAACTTGATTATTAGCTGGGGTGGGGGAGAGGTATTTATTCTACCCAGTTTTGAGTTTTTATCTGGATAGGATTAAGACATATAAGAAGTCACATAGGATTTTTGGACGGTGAATGCATGTGAATTAATGTGTGTATGTTAGCTAGGCTGACAGTACCTGAGCATCTAAGAACTCACTTTTCAAGGGCTAAAGTGGACTGTATGGTATGCCTCCATAATGGAGTTCTGTACTGTATGTATGTTTACTCTGCACAGCTTTCTTCACTTGACATCTAGATCTGATGCTTACTTTGGGAGGGCAGTTCTGCAATTTTTTTTAAATAGTACTCATAGGTCCACCTTCCTGGGTGTTGTGCATAACTGGAAATGTGTAGAAGAAGAAAGGTTACTCACTGATAATTGAAGTTCTTTTTGAGTGTTGTCTCTATATATTCACACTACTTTCCTCATATCCTCAGAGTTCTGTTCTCATACTTCTTCTGTTTTAGCAGAGAGAACTGTGTCAGTTGGGAGTGGAAGTTAGACAAGTCAAAAGTCTTCTATGCATGGAAATGGGAAACAAGAAACTTCTATTTGTACCGGGGAACTATTTGCATTTTTTCTGAGGGTAGAGGAGAACAATGTAAACAGTATAATTGACTTACATTCAGCAGAAATTGAATTGCAGAACAATTGGCTCAACCATCAGAATGTGATAGGACAGTGGGAACTGAACCAGGAAATACTTTATCAAGTTGCAGTAACATAGTATATATGGTGGGACGTTTAAAGAGTATATTTTCATGTCTTTCTTTCCATTTCTTCCTCCACTGGAACAAAACTAAGAATTTTCTATAAGGTTTTTGAATTATATGTAACTCGGAGTTGTAAAAGAAAACAAATTAGAAAGAAAAAATATTTCAAGGTTAAAAGTGTAATAATCTAAGAGATACTAAAAGAGTTAATCTGCTCTGTGGGAATCTGCTTTTTTTGATGTGCCATTAAACTATTTTTTTCCCCAGGTCGAAAGTTTAAAAAGTTTAACAAAGTGAAAGTTGTGAGGACACTAGATATTGTTGCACTCCAGCAGCCAGTGGCCCTTCCAGATGAAAGCCAAGCTCTATCCCAGAGGATATCCTTTTCACCAAATCAAGAAGTACAGTTTATTCCCCCACTGATCAACATTTTACAAGGCATTGAGCCAGAAGTGGTCTATGCAGGATATGACAACACACAACCTGAAACCCCAAGTGCTTTGCTGACCAGTTTGAATCAATTATGTGAGAGGCAACTCCTTTGTGTAGTCAAATGGTCTAAATCACTACCAGGTAATAACATCTTTCTATACATAGTTATGATAATATATGTCATCAAGCTAATTATTAAAGAATATTTAGTCTGTTTATTGGCTGTGCACTAAAACCAGGTATATACAGAAATGTAATAAATAATAAATTGAATGCATAATAATTGAATCCTTAATAAAGAAATTTAATTGAATACATAATAACACTGCCAGTTCACCAAAAGAGTATAAAATTGGACTTTCTGTGTATCAGAGAGATCTCTTTAGCAGACAATAGAGCCTTCTTAAAGGAATTCCTGTAAATGAGCAGACATTGTTTTTTTTTTACTTTATATTCTTTAGGTGTAAGAGTATTTAAACAGATTTTTATTGTATGTTTATCTTATTGTAGTTAGGATGATTAAAAAAAATAACATGGGAAAACCGAGAGCAACACTGTTTGGTGTTATAAGACTAAAAAGATATTAGGTTTAAAGAGATTAGACGAATGCTCCAATATCACTGAATACGGAAGGATCCAGTGACCAATGGAGTAGTACAGATTCAACAAAAGTGCAACTTGTACCTTTTTCAGAAATTGGGTTAGTTTAAAAAAAAGAACTATTTTTAAAGCTGTTTTAAATGAAAAATATGTTCAGTGTTTTATGCAGTGTAGCTATAGCGGTGTCAGTCTTAGGATATTAGAAAGACAAAGTGGGTGATGTAATATCTTTTATTGGACCAAACTTCTATTGGTGAGAGACTAGCTTTCAAGCCACATAGAGCTCTTCATGGATTCCCAGCATCACAGAAAAATGCAAGAAGAACAGATTGTTTAGCGTAGTTAGCAAATATTGTAAGGGACCATTCAAGGCAGAGTGGCCTGGTAACGCCTCTGCAGTCATAGAACTAAAAGAGGGGAGTTAGTGGGTTACAGATTGTTGTAATAAGCCATAAATCCAGTGTCTCTGTTCAGTCCATGATTTTAGTATCTATCAGAGTTATGAATTCAAGCTCCCAGGGTCGTATTTTGAAACTGTTGTGCAGTTTTCCTTTGAGGATGAGGACTGATAGGTCAAATATAGAGTGATTGCTTTGTGAAAAGTGTTCAAGCACTGGTGATGGGGTGTTTTTGTCTTTTATCATTTTCTTCAAAAAGAACAGGAGTACTTGTGGCACCTTAGCGACTAACACATTTATTTGAGCATAAGCTTTCACTTCATCGGTGTAGCCCACAAAAGCTTATGCTCAAATAAATGTGTTAGTCTCTAAGGTGCCACAAGTACTCCTGTTCTTTTTGCGGATACAGACTAACATGTCTGCTACTCTGAAACCTGTCATTTTCTTGTGTGAGTTCATTCGAGAGCATAGTGATTGGTTTCACCCACATGGTTGTTATTGGGGCATTTAGTGCACTGGATGAGGTATATATTGTGGTAGGCACATGTAGGATCCATGTGTGGCTCAAAAGCTTGTCTCTTTCACCAACAGAAGTTGATCCAATAACAGATATTGTTTCACCCATCTCGTCTCTTCAGTGTTTTATGTCAGTTTTTGAGATTGCTTTGTATGGAGATGTAGGAGAATATTTGGCACTTTTGCAGTTGTGTATTTATCTTGTTTCCTTGTAAATCTTGTATGCAGCTCTGTTTGGAATTTAGTATTCTACACAGTTGAGATTGGGGAGTCTACAGCAGGATCACCATACTTGCTCATTTCAGAATGAACTCAGTCCCAACTTCCTGCTTTTCATCATACTCTCCCTTCCCCGCTTCCTTTTAAATAAATATTTTGATCTCCTGAACTCTCTTATATCTTCTGTCATCATTTGACATATCTAGTCATTTAAATCTTTATAAATCGTACACACTTGAAGGAGTATTGTACAAAAGAGGCATTCTCTGCCTGTAGACCGTTGCTGTAAAAATGGCTGTTGCATAATTTGAATATGCCAACTTTTAAAAATCAATATTCGATGCCTCAGTGAGCCACTTCCTAAACATACTTTGTTGCTAGCATTAAAACATATTCATGGGAACAGGGAAAAGGGATATAGTATATTATTGATCTGTGCTAAAGTAATAATTATAAACAACTTCAGATCAATCCTCCCCTCACTCTCCTCACACATCCCAAAATATCTTTTACTTCTGTAAAACCATCTATAGTATAAATACCACCACTTGTCTTAAAACAGACAAGTCTTAGGACCTGATACAACAACACCAACTGAAATTGGGGGAGTCCTTCCACTGGCACCTGTCTGCTCCGGATCAGGCCCTAAGAGAACTATAACCTGACCTAAAAGACATAAGTGGTGTAAAAGATACTGTAACATAGTATTATTCTGAGATACTATTAAACAGACTGAGGGAACCTTCAAACATCAATAAAGCATTTTTATTGAAGATTTGCTTATTTTGAATTCAGTCAAAAAAAGGACAAGAAAAGACAAGCTCAGACAACATGATGTGGAATAAATGTCTTTGTGACTAAGGCTACGTCTACACTACCCGCCTGAATCGGCAGGTAGAAATCAATCTCTCGGTGATCGAATTATCGCGTCTCGTCGGGACGCAACAATCGATCCCCGAATCAACGCTTGTACTCCACCAGTGGAGGTAGGAGTAAGCGCCGTCGACGGGGGAGCTGCGGAGGTCGATTTGCCGCCGTCCTCACAGCGGGGTAAGTCGGCTCTGATATGTCGAATTCAGCTACGCTATTCATGTAGCTGAATTTGCGTATCTTAAATCGATCCCCGCCTTCCCCCCCCCCATAGCCTAATACAAAATAAAACTAAATGAAATGGGGAGGAGCAGGACAGAAAAGAAAAATAGAAAAAATTCCCGTCACTTTCATTGGAACTGAGGTGGCCTGTGACAGCAATGCCACTTGTGCTAATTAAATCTATGCCAGTCTCATGAAATTGTTCTAAGGAATGAAAAAAAACTGGAGTGAACATATGAAAATTACCCATTTAGGACACTTCCTCCATTTTTGCTATTTTCTTTCCTGTAGTTTGGCTACATTCACCTACTTTACCAACTTAATATAGTTGCAAGCCTAGATGTAAATTGAAGAATATGAAATTTGTTAAATTAGAATGAGAGGAAACTTTAATAACTCTTTTTCATACAAAGTATATAAACATCCAATGTACATTGGTTCACATTAGTGAGGAAACATTTTTTTTTGTGATACTGACCTCACTGTGACATGTTGTAATGTTTTCCTATTCCTAAAATATAATACTAAGATGATCCGCCATCTCATCAGGTAAGTATTTCCTTTATAATGTAAAACACTGTATATGGCACGAGAAGTCAGAACAGAGCTCATAATGTGACACACTGCTGAATCTATTTGGTAGACAGGGCAGTAAGTCACTCCAGCGCTGTTCCATGCTTTGCATAAATCACTGTTATCCAACATTCGAAGAATACAACTACATTTCACTAAAAGATAGATCCTGTTGTGGAATGATGCCACGAAGAACTTAATGGAGATTGTACAGGCAGCTACCCGCACATTGTACTGAAAATATATTTTAATTTGTCAAACAAAAGTGCTGTAGCTGATAATAATTATGGGTAGAAAGAGGAGCTCATATTTACGAACTGTTAAAGATAGTGGACTATTAGTGTTGATGGAAATGTTGGTGTAAATTATATGTTGAGTGAAGTTTTGAGCTTCTAGGTCCTATAATGAAGGCACTATGAAAGTTTGTAGGATTATTGCCTTGTATGCACTAAACTTAGCCAATCACTGTCATAAATGGGAATTTGATGCTGGTGTTCTCTTCTTTGTTTAAACACTCACCTACTGACTGGTCCAAACACAAACTTTTACTATTTCATACAAAAATCAATATTATTAAGTGACAGTTACAAAGTTAATCAGTTAGTAGTCAAGAAATGTCAAAGTTAACATGGCATGTGATTGTGGAAGTATAATGTGAAGGCATAACTTAGGCAAGACAAAGACCAAATGGTTAAAAGGACTAAAGGAAATATCAAGATAATGCAGAGAATGTCCATCATCAACTAGTTGAACCCAAATGAGAAGCAGAAGTTCAGACTGGGAGGCCAGAAGTACTGAGTGAAGATGGCATGTCTTTGATCTTTTTTTTGTGTACCCAGCACCAAAAATCTTAGCCTGTAGTGCTCTTATACCAAAGTGATGGATGCAGTATAAGAATCTAGACAGATAGAAAGACTAATCACCAAAAGACCCCTAACTGCCCTATGAAAACACCATCAGAAAATGGTTCTGAAATTATCTTAAAATCTGCACTTTGCCACAGATTGCAGCAAAGACCAATTAAATAATTAAAAGTATTTATAAATATTTCCACAAAAGAATCATGCCTCATTTTAAATTTTTAGAATAACAGAAACTACTTTTAAAGTCATTGCAGCTTATTTTGGAAAGAAAATGACTGGAGGTTTGATTATCTGGAAATAAGAAAGTTTTCATGTTGTATAATTTTGAAGAGTTATTGATAGTTAAGAAATGCAATCCTCTTTCTGAAATAACCTCGTCTGGGTAAATAAAAGCCAGTGACAGGGAGATATTATTCTAATGAAATTGTTGAAACATAAGGTTTGGTTTAAATTAAATGTTGTGGACCAAATGTTTTATCCCTTTTGAAAAATAAAAGCAGTGAATACTTTCCATTTATTTGCTGGAACAAGGACATGTGCAGATAGATGTTTATGTGGCTCAGTTCCCCCATCTATAAAATGAGGATAATTATAATGACCTCCTTTGTAAAGTGCGTTGAGATCTACTGATGAAAAGGGGTACATAAGAACTAAGAATTATTATAATTCTAACTGCTGCTCTTATTTAGAATAAGGAGAAACTGTTAATAAATAAGAACTGATTATGGTAACGAGTATGGTAAACTGTCCTATTTTTGTTAAAAGTATATAAAGAACTTTGTTGTTTCCTAAAGTACATAGTCACTCATAACTCATAAAATTATATTTGATTTGATCATTTCAGGATCAAAACCAAGAAAAGGAATAATATGTGGCTCAGCATAAAAAATTGGGAGAGGTTAGCTAATCTAGTCAAATGGCTAATGATAATTAAAATATCACAAGCCTACTTTTGATTAATCTCTACCTACTTAAGAAATACTGCTAAATTAGCCTGTAAAATTAGATACATTTGAATTGTCAAGTCAAACGCTACCACCTACTGGAAACTGCTACAATATTAGAAATGTACATGTTTGCTCTTTAACTAGCTGATCCTGGAGGCTCTTAAAGAAAAATATAAATGAAAAATATAAAGTCCCATTGAGTGAACTAAAAGGAGTTCAAAAATGAAAGTTAATGCCAATTTTTGTTGTATTAGTCTTATTTTCAGTGGATGTTTAATAGGATTCTGTCTGATACTGTTAGTAATCAGATCTTATTTAAGACATGCACAAGGTATGAAAGGAGACGTATAGATACATAACAAAAATACTACATATTTAAATTTCTCTTAAAATAACAGATAGCTTGTCTGACACAACATCAAGAACACTTGACAAATATAAATTTCTTTCTTTGTGAAATGTTTTATACAGTAGTATTTGAATTCTTTTAATTCTTGATGTGATTTTCAGGATTCCGGAATTTACATATTGATGATCAGATAACCCTTATCCAGTATTCTTGGATGAGTCTAATGGTGTTTGCTATGGGATGGAGGTCATATAAGCATGTCAGTGGTCAGATGCTATACTTTGCACCTGATCTGATACTAAATGAGTAAGTAGACAGTTACTGCTATTTACTAATACAATAGATGAAATCCTGACCCCATTGAAGTCAATGGAAATTTTGCTATTGATTTGATTGGGGCTAGGATTTTGCCCTATGTTTCTGTTTTGTTGTTTCATTAAACAGTGCTAAAATTAAGATCAAAGGAGAAAGCTCTGATAATATCAAAGCTCAGTAACCTCAGTAAGGATTGCATAAAAGTCCAATATATTTCATTGACATGTAGACCCAAAAGCAAACGAGTTTTGGTGGTGGTTTTGTTTATTTGAGGGAAAGTTAAAAAAGAATTATGTTATCATGACATAAAACCTGAATTAGTTTGAATGTAGATTTCAGGGCAGAGGGTTAATATCCCAAATCCTTGTAGCATTATACATAGGAGTATTTTATAGGCAATCATAGTATACTTTTCCCTCCCTCTTTAATAATTTGTCCTAGAAATTCACAAAAGAAGCCTATACAAGGCAAGATGAAAATTAAACAAATAGGTTTATGATTCAGCTTAACATAAAACTAAGAACTAGGTCCCCGATCCTATTTCAGGATCCCAGTGTACAGACCCTCTTGCCCATGTGGAGTACCCATGAAATCAGTGGAATGCCACACAATCACAGAGGTCATACATTGGGATCTAAGGGTGAAATTCTGGCCCAACTGAAGTCAGTGGCAAAACTCATTGATTTCAGTGGAGCCATGATTTCACTTTATGTATTTACAGTAAACACTAGGAATTAGAAAACAAAAGTTGAATAATTTGGCATAAAAAAGCACATCAAAGACATTATGTATACAGGAAAATGCTCTGAAAATAACTTTTATTAAATTAAAAGCTATCTCTTTATCTATACTGTTGTCTAACAGGTATTTTAAAACCAAGTTACCACTTAGACTTGGTTTATCCATAATTCAGTCCTAGTGCAGATGGATACCACCTGCCATATCAGCACACAGCAGCACCAGCCTCAAACCCGAAAATGAGGCAAGAGCTGTTAATTTCCAGATGAATTCACGGGTTGTTTTTAAAAGCACTGTAGATATTTACCTACACCTTCTGATACCTAAAAATATGTCTCGGGGTGAGATCCACTAAGGCAGTGCTTCTCAAAGTCAGGCTGTCGCTTGTTCAGGGAAAGTCCCTGGCGGTCCAGGTCGGTTCGTTTACCTGCTGCGTCCGCAGGTTCGGCCGATCGCGGCTCCCACTGGCCGCGATTCGCCACTCCATGCTAATGGGGGCTGCGGGCAGGGCGGCCAGCACATTCCTCGGCCCGCGCCTCTTTCCGTAGCCCCCATTGGCCTGGAACGGCGAACTGCGGCCAGTGGGAGCCGCGATCGGCCGAACCTGTGGATGCGGCAGGTAAACAAACTGCCCGGACCGCTAGGGGCTTTCCCTGAACCAGCGGCGGACCAGCTTTGAGAAGCACTGCACTAAGGGACTTAGGAGTTGCAATGCTTGGCGTTGCAGTGCATGACTTTTAGGCGCCTTGTCATCCAGTGGAATCCACAGTTCTAAGTTAGGCACTTAGGTTCCCTGTACAAGGCATGGGGCGAATTAGGTGCCTATGAATGGGTCCCACAAAAGCCACCTTGCTGAGTGGGGAGCTACCTAAGCTAGCCAGAAGGAGACATCAAGGAAAGGATTGTGGCCAGGCCCGTCAAAGGGACTTGTACATCTGCATTGGAGGAAGCGGCATATCTCTACTTGGGATTCTTGACCATCAAGACTCTCCTTAATTTAGGTGCCTAAGCCAGAGGAGGGCAGGGTGAAGTTCCCCCTTAGAAATTTTCTCCCAGTGATTAGGGCACTCACCTAGGAGGTGAGAAACCGAGGTTCCAGTGCCCCTGCTCCAATGACCTCATATTTATGTAGAACAGCTTCAACGGGAGCAACTGAGTAATCAGTAGCATCATTTCCCAATAAACAATAAATTATATATTTAACTCATTTAAAATAGGGTGCAATGCTTCAGATTCTGAACAGATTTGAAGTATTTCTCACTTAAAACAATAAAATATTTATCTACATGCATTGAGAAAAAGTTTTTTGTCATACCAAATATAAACATTTTGTTGATTATAATGCTTCCAGCCAGACTGGAATCATGATTTAAAACACTTGGGTGAAATCCTGTCTCCATTGAAGTCAATATTAAAAGTCCTATTGACTTCAGTAGAACCAAAATTTCACCCGTGTTTTTTTTTTAACTCATTGATTTAAATCAAGTTGAGGCTTTGTAAAACTAACCTGTGCTATTGCACCTTTCTATTCAGTGTATAATAAGCTAACATATGCTGGGCTTTTTTAAATGCTACTACTGGCAATATATCTTAACTGATTTTTTGTAAACTGCTGTAAGTAAAAAACAAAAATATTGAAAATGGAGGCCCTATTCCTGAAAACATTTCTGCAGTTATTTCACTTTACTGACATGATTAGTTCCATTGACTTTAATGGAACTTCTCATAAAAGTCAGCATCAGGAGCTAACATTTATTTAAACATTTTCTCTTTACAAAATCTTTGTAACTTTAAAAAAAATTGTGTCACTGTTAGTAGTTAAAAGTTATTTAGACTTTCAGTCCATTCACAAAGTTATTGTAAACTTTTTATGCAACAGGCCAAAATTTGTTTAAATGCCCATATTTGTTTTCAAAAGCATCCTCAAAAAGTGTTTAGGCTTCTAACTTCCATTGAAATCAACAGAAGTTAGGAGCTTAAATACCTTTGAAGATCTGGGCCTAAGTGACTTAGGAACATCATTAACATCAAACTGCCTGCTCAAAACAATTCAGCTATTTTGACTTGTGGAAGTTCAATATATCAGAAGATGATGTTGGTTACAAATATAGAACAGGCTCTTTGTTTGTTAGTTTTGTGTTTGCCATTTTCTCTTGTTCTCACAGTACAGATATTAATGTGTATCTTACAATGTAGATAACCATCTATATGTGCAAGTTCTTAGTAGAAAAAAAACTATATGCAAAATCTACTAACACTAGAAATTCCACTAACAATTAGAATGCTAATTAAAGAAGCACTTGCAAAACATTTACTCTAGCAATTTAAGATTACAAATGAGAAGAAAGTAAAGAACTAGCAACATTTAAATTAAAAAATCTGATTTACATTTTAAAAATTGTTGGGTTTCTTTAATTTTAAAAAAATCATTATTATTATTCACCTGGCATTCAGCTCCTATCAGTCTCTAAGATGCCTGTCTAAACTGTGACACCACTAGAGGGGAATTAATTTACCTTTAAACTTCCAATCAAATGTCAAGTTATGATTTTTTTTATGTATGTGAAAACTAATAGATACACAAAAAGTTCAGAAAATTGTTTTACTTTATATAGCTCTCGTCTTAATTTCAAGAATGTAGTAATTAATCTAACAGCAAAGTATGTACTACAAAGAACTAGTGGCTGAGTGTCTTTTATTTTTACCTTTTTTGGGGTGTAAGACAGAGGATGAAAGAATCATCGTTTTATTCATTATGCCTATCCATGTGGCAGATCCCACAGGAATTTGTCAAACTACAAGTTAGTCAAGAGGAGTTCCTCTGTATGAAATCATTATTACTGCTCAATACAAGTAAGTAAAAAATGGATGTTTTTGTCTTTATAACCTTTTTTGTTCTGTACCTCAAACATCAAATAAACAATACTGAAATGTTGCAAAATTTCACACAGTGTTATTTATCATGAAAAGTGTAGAGCTGTATGTCCAAAAAAACAGGGAAAAGTCCCTTTCAGCAAAAATGTCTCAGCCTCCAAAGCACTAAAATACTGTTTCTTTTTGTTGTGCACAGAATAAAATCAATGAGATACATGTTGAATACAATTTGACAGGTAGCCACATTAAGCTGGACATTTTCAGAGCAATAGTGCAGGGTTTCAGCCATGCAACTCTGAATGACTTCAGTGGCAATACACAGATAAAGCCCCATGCAAAGCTGCAAAATACAAATACAAAAAAAAATTCCTTTAGTACAATGTCAGGTATGTTGACGTAGGGGCCACATCCCGCTCCTGTGAAGTCAATGTTTTGCTCATTGGAGCAGGGGAGAATGGACATGGCTGACATACTATGTCAGGTTACTAATATTAACGATCATTCAAATTATTCCTGGACAAAGATGGGCAAATTTAGCCCAGGTGTAAGTCAGGGCAACTCCATTGACTTCAGCTGTCTGTTCCAGAACTAAATTTGGCCCACCACCTCTAATCTGATCCCAGCTACAAAGCATCTTTCCAGGTTCCAGTTTGCTCATTGGTCTTCCACTTTCCAGGTAGGGGAGCATCTGGGTGAAGTTCTCTGCCTATCTATACTAAGAAAGTAGTCTGTTGCTGACCTCATTTGTCAGTAATGAATTCCCTGAAAATGATTTAGCTGCTAATATAGGACAACAACTATTTTCAGAACTCTTTCGGAAAGTATTCTTGAGACTTGATTCCCCATGAGCCTTACACCTACACTGAACCATAGGGGTGACAGGATAGACCCCTGCAGTATGTTGCTTGGTTCCTCCAAGTGCCAAGAAAAATGTTCATTGAAGGCTTATTCCCTCATGTACCTTTGCTTGTGGCTCGTGTGCTCAGAGTGTGACATCTGTGCTCAACTTGACTAGCTTTTGCATAAGCATAGACTTTTTTTAAAAGAATTTCTTAGCAACAGAACACTGTATATTTTAATAGATGTTTAGAATCCAGATATTAGTATTGCCAAAAACAGTTACAGGCATGCAAATGACAGCCTCTATATGGTTGTCTTTCTACAACTTTATGTTCAGCATTTTTCTGCCAAAATCTAAATTTCCCTTTTTAAAAGGCTTATTTTCCCATGTTGAACAGAGGATATTGGTTTCCAATCTGCTTCTGCCTTGTTAACACGGCCTAGCTGAAAAAGTCTGTCTAGCTAAACAATGGCTGCATAGAAGTAAGAGATGGAAAAGACCTGTTGGGTCATCTGAGCCATCTCTCACAAACGTGTGTGTTCCCTACCACATTCAATTCACATCATTAAGATGTAAACATCAAAGATTAAATTAAGACCATATTAATGTTCAAATGGTTTTAAAAATAGCAATCTAAGAAACAAACATTCAGCTAGTGTCAACCATTGGGCAAAAGTTATCCCTAGTGTAACTCCAGTTGCTTTAATGGAGTTGCATCAGGGATGAATTTGGCCTCTTTTTTATAATAATCAATTCTCTGTTCTCTTTCCAGGATGAAATAGCTATATATATTTGTTTAAAGTCAAAGAAAACATGCCTAAGTGCAACAGATCTTTCAAAATCTGTACTTCTGAAATTCAGAAGTAGCTGATGTTTTGGCTTATCATTTTCATTGCATGTTAGGAAGATGGGAAGATTTAAACCATTGCCCTATTGGGAATTTTTGCTCATTTTTTACTTTGTATAGTTGTCTCCTGCAACATACTAAATAATGCTTGTGTATTACACCTTCCTGAGACACCACTAGGTTATGCTAATCAGTGCATCTCCTTGTTGTCCTGCCCATGCCCCTGCCTCCCTGGTCACAGATGACTTTATTGCAGAGGGAGGGTTTCAGTCATTTTGCATCACTTTTACCACCACCTCTGGCAGATTTTCCATATCAGTTATCCCGTGCCAGGATACCAGAAACCGACATAAGTGATTGGTTATGACTTACGTATCCATCTGCCTGTCAGATCACCATTTCTGCACTTCACTAACAGG